GCACCACCAGAGGGCACTGTCTCCCCAGAAACCGGAGGTGCCTTCTAGGCAAGCTGCTCCCTCCTTGAGCTTCACTGTAGTAGAATCAAACCTGTGCCAGTTAGAATCCAGTCCTGCTGTTTTCTGATTGGGACCCTGGGCAAATCACTTCCCGCTGTGAACCTTCACCTACCCCTTTTCTAAATCGGGAGCGATAATGGTATCAACTTGGGATTGTAGGAATCTACGCGATAATGCTTGTCAAACACCAAGTCTCTGTGCTGGGGGGTGAGGGCTCAGTGTACGCAGCAGCAATGACAGCTACTGATAGTGACAACAGTGATAATAAGCCTCAGTGATTGAGGACCTGCTCTGTGCTGGGTATTTAATCTTCAGGGCAATCCTACCGCATTATCATGCCCATTTACGGGTGAGGAAACTGAGGCCCTGGAAGGTTCAAAAACTTGCCAAGCTCAACCAGCCTATAAGCAGTCGGAGAAGGATTGGAACCTAGATCCTATGTTTTAACCACTGCTATCTGCCTTTCTCTAATTTTAACAACAAAAACATGAGCCTTTCTTTTCCTGGAACCCCCTCACCTTTCCAACTCCGAGCCGTGTTAGCCAGAGTCCCTAGCAATGGAGGTCCCTCTCCCTCTCCTCTCTCCACCAAAGCCCTGGGAACATGGTAACTCTGATCTCAGCTGAAGGGGCTGCCACACTCCCAGAATCTGGGCAGGGGGAGCCTTCACGGACAGCCCTCACCTACCCACCCTTGCCTTCACCTCTGGAAGACCAGAGTGGCAAAAAGTGGGACTCTGAGCCAGGTGGCTTGGGACAGAATCACAACGTACCATCAAAGTTTAAAAACAAAATATAAAAATAATGAGCTCTGCCTTGTCAAATGTTGCCTTAGGCAAGTTACTTAAGCTTTCTGGGACTCAGTTTTCCCATCTTTAAAATGGGGATCATTAGTAACCACTTCCTTGGCTTGTTAAAATATTTAATGAATTTATGTGTGTCTGTTGTCTGTACGTCTAAGACATGTACCTATTATATATGAGGTAATATATATAAAGTGCTCAATAAGTGCCTGGCCTGTAATAAGCTTGGTACATGTTGATGCTATTACCTTTTGTGAACTGGTTTCCCCAACACTCCAGACTCTTGTGCTCAGGCATCGGGAACATAAGGCCTGGGCGGTGAGGATATTGTAGTTTTATTATTGTTTTTCCTCAGGGCACTGAGGTCTTCCCTCTCTTGGGCTCTGTCCTTCATGACCCAGAGGTCTTCAAGCAGCCAGAGGAGTTCAACCCAGGTCGATTCCTGGATGCAGAAGGAAGGTTCAAAAAACAGGCAGCATTCCTGCCCTTCTCCTTAGGTACCTCCTGGGCCTGTCCCTGCCCACCCACTGGTCCTCCCTGGAGCCCGGGTATGAGGAGGACTGGCCCAGCCCCATCTCTCTCTTTCCTCTAGGTAAGCGTGTCTGCCTTGGGGAGGGCCTGGCTCGAGCAGAGCTCTTCCTCCTGGTCACCGCCATCCTACAGGCCTTCTCCCTGGAAAGTCCATGTCCACCAGGTGCCCTGAGCCTCCAGCCAGCCATCAGTGGCCTTTTTAACATCCCCCCTGCCTTCCAGCTGCAAGTCCGGCCCCGCTGACCTCCACCCCATCCCACTGTATGGACCAGATGAAGGAGGGGTTTGCGGAGGTGGCAGCCTCAGCGTTGGACATGGACATGGCTGTTTCCAGAGCCACAAGTCTACACTGCAGGCAGCCACATTCACACACTTGTCGTTGTTTTCTAGAGTTGGTCATACAGGTATTCAGCCTACTTGTTCACAGGGCCACGCTCACTGGTCCACGAAGCTGTCAGACACGCAGCCATACACAAGAAGGCCACAAGGCCACACAGGCTTTCTACAGGCACAAATTTAGTCTGTTGGAATCACAACCACATGCTCAGATAACCTACCAACTCACACAAACACAACTTGCGTGGACTCACAACCCACATGTGGGAGTACAGCTGCCACCTTCACAAGCCACCCAAACAGCCACTGTGTTCACCGCCCACACGCCTTCTTGGTTCATCAAACTTATCAGTGCCACCATCTCTGGGATCTTGGGATCATATCACCTCCCAGAGAGACCATCCCTGTCCTCAGCCCTCAAATGACCACACCCTGTCCAGGCACATGACCATCACTGTCCACGCACCCCCAACCACTAAACCACACACAGCCAGCCCACGAGTGACATCGTCCTAGCTCCCGACTGTCTTCCCACTGAGACACCCCACTCCCACTGAGTCACAGCCTGCCTCTGCACCTTCTGCCTTCAAGGACACCCTTTTCCAAATATCCTGATCCCCAAATTCTCCCAAATACAAACATACACCCCCAGTGTGCAATTGTGCCTGGGAACCAAGTAAACTTGGACACACGAGGACCCTCAGACCAGAGGAACCCTCCACACACCATCCAGCTTATGTAACCATGTTGAAAGCCTCTCCTGCCCCCTCTGCCCTCCCCAAAACACATACGCTGACCCACCAGCCCTACTCAAAGTTCCAATTAGACTCAGTGGAAGGGGCTCAACAACCAAGTAGGGGCCAGATTTCAACTCCTTATGTCAGGGAAGAGGCCAGGTCTGCCGTCTTTGTGACGGGATGATCCCTGTTTTGCAATAAAAGTTTGTTTCTGGCCCCTGGTCTAGCCCCGTGGCAGGGCCGTGTGTGTGTGTGTGTGTGTGTGTGTGTGTGTGTGTGTGTGTGTGTGTGTGTGTGTGTGTGTGTCAGTGTCCATCATTGTAACGGGTGGAGATGGAGGGTCCACCCCTCCCTCGAGGCTGGGCGGGAGCTGAAAAACATGGCCCCCGCCCACCCTGGCTGTTGACATCAGTACCAGATGTGAGGGTGGGGGAGGGGGGGCCTGTCCTGGACTCACTTCCGGTGAGGCAGATGGGGGAGGGTGGGGAAGGGGAATGGGGGGCAGGGAGAAGGTAACGGCAGAACTGCAGGCCTGGGGGTGGGGGTGCCTCTGCAAGAGAAAGCCTGAAATTGATGGATCCTGGGAACTCTCCCAATCTGAAAGCAGATGCCGAAATACAAACCCTAACCCTACTCCAGCCTCTTCCACTACCCTTTTCCTCCTGCCTTCGCTAAGAAAAGAAACCAGAAGCATCTTTTTATTTGTTAATTATCTATTAAGGAAGGTTTCAAACAAAAGTAGAGAGACTAGTGCAATGAACCCATGTCCACCACCAGCCTCATTTGATAATCACCTTTCTGCTATTTTTTATCCCCTTTTCTGCTAGTTTTATTTCATCCATCACTCTTACAATTATTTTAAAATCATTGAATATGCATTTCTAATATAGTAGTAAAGAACATCCCACCACAATATTTTATTATGAGAATTTTCAAGCATGCAGCAAAATTGGGGGAATTACACGAGGAACCCACCCCCTCTTCCGTGTGCCACTGCCTGAATTCAGTTTGCTTTAGCACACTTCTATCCACCTTTCCATCCAGCTTACTTTGTTAGGCATTTCAAAGTAAATTGCAAACATCAGTTCATCTGCCCCTGAATACTTCAGCAATGCATGTATCATTAAAGTATTTTTTTCTAATTTTCCATGATAGTAACCCTTCCTTCCTTCCTTCCTTCCTTCCTTCTTTCCTTCCTTCCTTCCTTTCTTCCTTCCTTCCTTCCTTCCTTTCTTTCCTTTTCTTTCTTTCTTTCTTTCTCTCTTTCCTTCCTTTCTTTCTTTTTGGCTTAAGTTCTATAGAGGTAGCCCAGAACAGTGATATATTGTAGAAGAGAATTGAAAGATGAGATTAGGATCAGATCCTAACTTTGCCATTCTTCAGCTAATCACCCCTTGATGGAGGGTGTAACATTTAAAAGACTAAAAGAAAAAAAATTCTGGGACTTAATAGGAACAAAATACAAGCTAAGTCTTTGGGTTTGCTATTATTACTGGGTTTTTTTATACGTCGATGTTGTGGACAAAAAAAGGAACCACATACTAAACCTGACAAGTGTGGCGGGCCTTACAAACTGAGACTGAAAGTAACCACACAGGATGGTCTGAAGATAAAAATTCCTAACTAAAAGAGAGTCATGGTGGGTCGTCCTGTCCTAGGCCTGTAGCTTCCTTGACAAAAGTCAATCTTTGCCTCAAGAAGCCAGTCTTTTTGCATTTAACATAACATACCTTTGAAATGTCAGAGTAATCTCTTTTTCCAGACCTCTGGGCACAAGCACCAGCACCAGAGTTCGACATCACAGAGCCCCTCATTGTTATCTTGTTCCCCACATACCATCTCTGTGTACTATAAATGTTAATTCTTAACTATTCTGTACTCAACCAATGTAAAAGAAGTATGCATCTCTCCATTTTACTTTTTATCCAATCTCAGAGATTCCCCTCTAATTTCTCCCGCCCCCTTAATCTACCACCAATGGATAACCCTCCTTACCATCTCCTCCTTTGATTCTGATGTATAAAAGAAGCTGCAAAACTCCGTTCTCCGGAGTATTTTCTCAATCCATTGAGATTTTGCTTCCTGGAGATTGTCAGTTTGGCTCAGATAAACTCTCTCAAAACTTCTCTACAGGTTTAGGCTTTTCTTACCTCAACAGTGTGACATGAAAAGGAATGAATGAGGTTTAAGGTTTTCTCCTCTTAAATTAAGCAATGACTTGCTTTTCTTTTCACTCAAAATTCACATTCAGGGAAATTTGGGGTCAGAAATACCAGCAAACTCATTTATTTATAGAAGGATGGACTTTGCACTGCATCAATATGAAAGGTGACATGAGTTCGAATGATTTCAATTGCAAGCAAAATATAAATTCAAAATGGTTTAAACAATAAAGGGTTATTGGACCCCAAAATAAAAGTGTTTAGAATTTGCGTAGTTTGTGTGTGTGGTAAAATATGCATAACAATATTTATCATTTTAACCATAAATGTACAATTCAGTGGCATTAAATACATTCACTGCATAACCATCACCACTATCTATACCCTCAAATGTCATTATCCCCAATAAAGACTCTTAATTTTTTAAAACAATAACTTGCCCTTTAAAATTTGCTTTTAAGGTTCGAGTCCAGCCCGAGCTGAGCAGCCACTGAGCTGCCAACAGGTAGCAGGATGGCTCAGCTAAAATAAATAAATAAATAAATAAATAAATAAATAAATAAAATTTGCTTTTAAGAGCCACTGAGTGGCACATCAGTTGGGAGTTGGCTTGGGACGCCAGCTCTGAGCAGCGGGGTCCCGGTTTGGATCCCACATGGGGGCCAGTGATGCTGCGCTTTCTGCAGCTGATATGGTGAACAGCAGCTTGACCTGGAGCTGGGCTGCCATGGGTCACTGGCGACGGCATAGGCTGCAGCCCCTGCTGCAGTGGGCTGCCGTAGGCTGCCATGAGTGGCCGGCAGTCAGCATGAGTGGCTGGCAGCCGGCGAGAGCTGCCATGAGCCGCGGTGAGCAGCTGTTCAATGACCAGCGACCGATCTGCCTCACCCGGGAGGAGCACAATGATCACAATGCCAACGTAGGCCAGTGAAGCGATGTCCTCCACAGCTGGTCTGAGGAATAGGGGAATAGCAACTTGTCTGTTCCCCTTTCCTGATTCCCCAGCGCTGTTCCCCTCCCCCAACTCCCCAATAAAAAATTTTTTTAACTGCTTTTTAAAAGTCACAACCACGATACCCATTTTCACACCTATCACAATGAGCAGTCAGTCCTGCAGTGTCAGTGTTCTCGGAGCCCTGACAGTCTCATGAATGTAATTTATAATTGGGTTCGTTCAAACAAAGACCCAAGGCTTACCACACGGTGCCTTCATTTAAACCATCTTAGGTCTTTTATATCTGCAACCATTCCCCAACCTTTTGAGTGCCACTTATTTCTTGAAGAAACTGGGTCCTTTTTCCTGTACAATTTTTTGTATCCCGGATTTGATGGATGGCCAAGTAGACAACCAAGTAGGGGTCAGATTCTAACTCCCTATGTTGAGGAAGAAGCACCTTTATGGCATCACTTCCATTCCCAGGAATAACCAATGAACTGGGAATTAGATCCGATTTGGGATCATTCTAGCAAGATCTCACTGGAGGTGCTGATCCCTTCCTGAACGTCACATACCAATAAACAGTGGTACCATGTAGTGCGTCTAGGTCCTGATCACTCTGGTAGAAAGTTTTCTGTCAACTTTCCACTTACTGGCCTTAGCAGGGGACCCTTTAAAATCAAATCAAATCAGGTCTGCTCAGAGCCACCCAGTGGGGAAGCCTGGCACACTGTTGGTGGGAATGTAAATTGGTGCAGCCAGCCACTCTAAAAAACAGTATGGAAGTTCTTCAGAAAATTAAATATAAAATTACCATATGACCCAGCAATCCCACTTCTGAGTACATATCCTAAGGAAAAGAAATCAGTATCTCAAAGATATACCTGTACCCTATGGTCATGGCAGCATTATTCACAATAGCCAAGACAGAGAAATAACCTAAGTGTCCACCATCAAATGAATAAAGAATACATGATACGGGGCCAGCTGAGTGGCTCAGTTGGTTAAGAGTGCAAGCTCTGAGCAACAAGGTCACCAGTTCGATTCCCACATGCGCCCGAGCTGAGCTGCCACTGAGCTGCCAACAGGTGACAGGATGGCTCAGCTGGTGAGAGCACGTGCTCCTAACAACAAGCTTGCCGGTTCAACTCCCGCAT